TATAGGCAGTGTCGTTTCGCATGCCCTTTTCGCTTTCTAACTAGCGACTCTTGGTTCTCCCGCTCAGGACATTTATATCCCTATAAATAAGGAGGGAGCTCCTCATTTGAATCGTTACGTTTTCCAATTGCTTAAGAGAGAATTTCACAAGTCTTGTCCTCTTTCCTTAATCTCTCATATCTCTGCTTCTGCTAAGATTTGTGGTGACCATCGTCTTTTTTATTTATCATCTTCGTTTTTTCGATCAAAGAAAACAAATGGCTAGTACTTATTCCCACTCTGATAAAGCTGTAGGTGCTACGGTGCCGGAGAATGTCGCATCCCTGCTCGAAGAGTGAGTGGAATTGGTGGAAGATGAGGGGTTTCCGATGGTGGATGAGGTGGTTCCTCGCCCGGGGAAGGCGAGGACCGACTTTAATAGCCCTACCGGAGATGAACTGAAGCTCGTTTCTTCCACGATAGATGCTGCAGCGATCACTGCGTCCAAAGCAAAATGGGGGATCCCCGATCATATTGAAATGGTGCTGGCGGATAAGGATATAGTGCATTTACATCGCCCGGGCTACTGCGCGTTTTACGCGTATCCTTTTCTCATCGGGTATACGCTTCCCCTTCCTTCCTTGGTGGTTAATTTATGCCATTTTTATGAGGTGTGCCCGGCTCAACTCTCTTCGTACGCGTATAAGCTTTTCCTCATGCTCATCAAGTACGTATAGTTGGCCGGCCGAGGAGTTTCTCTAGGGCACATGCTCCACCTCTTCGCCCCCCATTTCCTTCGGGGTACGATGATTCATATGCGTCATCGAGGAACCAAGAGCTTGGTGGTCAAGATGGATGACAAGACTAACCGCCGCTTCTGGGAAAACTACTTCTATGTCCGGATAGAGCACGTCGTATCGAACCCGGCGGGGTTTCCTGAGACGTGGCATTTTGCTCGTAAGTTCCCCTTTCCGTTTACTTCGTGCAATTTTCTTAAGATGGTCATCTGTCGTATCCCTTTAACGACTTTGCTGAGGATTTGCTTTTGTTTTTCTAGCCGAGAGACTACCTCCCCTGCTAGTTGTCGATATCCGGGAGTAGGTGAGCGCAATTCTTCCCCACACAGTGGGGATTCGTGAGTGGGCGTCTTTTCATGAGAAGTTTGGGCGCAAGCCGCTTAACGGGGAGTTGGTTCGTTGTGGTTTCTCTTTGTTCTCTACTTTTTTTTTTGCCTTGTCGTTATGTAATCAAATCCTTCCTTACTGACAGGTCGGAGAGGAGCGAGAAGGACGAGGGCTCCTCTGCTTGCTTCCGTCAACCGGTGCCCTCTACCCGGCCCGCACCAAGAGCTTCTACAGGCAAAGGCATAAAGGGTCTGGCCGCTCGTCGGACCGCACCCGCGGCCAAAGCTGTACGCTTGGAGGTTACTCCTCAACCGGAGACCCCGGTTCCCGCAGTTTATTCAACGGGCGAATCCTCCCGCGTCGGTAGTGGAGAGGCCCCATCGAAGAGGCGAAGGTTAGTGTTTGAGAGGGCTTCTTTAACCGAAACACCCTCGGGGTCGACCTTGTTTCGACGGCACCCGAGACCGGAAATGCGGAGGCGACGCGCATTGCGAGCGTTCAGGAGGCTATCGCGACAGAGGGACGGAGTTATGAGGCCGTTGTTGTTATTCCAAGCAGGCCATCGTCATCTCAGCCAAACCGCACCCCGTCTTCGGCCGGTGAGAGGGGTAAAGGCGTCATGGTTGAGGATTATGAATCTGAGTCCGACATCGACCCTGAGGACGTGAGGATGTTCGAGGAGGGCTTTACCCGAACTGTGGTAAGGGCTGAAGGCCCTTCCCGTATACTTGAAATTCCGTCAGATCTCAACCTGTTGCAAGACACGGTGGACTTGGTGCCAAAGTTTGATCTTTTGTGCTCCGTCGCTGAAAGCGAATCCCTTAAGGAGGTTAGCACTTCCGGGTTGTCGCGCGGTGTGGCCGCGATGGCGTTAAGGGTGAGTGCTTTTTTGATTTTTTTTGTTTTGTGATCTTCGTCATTACACTGACTTATTCTCTCCTTTCTTCTTTTTCTTTTTATAGACTTACATGCTGGAGATCGAGAGTGCTCGTAGGGCTGAGACGCGGGCCGAGATTTTTCTAAATGGTCGAGAAGTACCGGCGGTATCGCAACAGGTGCCGTGAGATGCACGAATAGCTTAAAGTGGGCGCTAGTACCCAGTCCAACAAGGAGGAGTTGGAGAAAAGGGACAAGGAGCTGATGCGGTCTATCCACAGGTGTAGTGAGCTTGAGGGACTGCTCCATGCCAAGGACGAGGAGCTCGAGGTGGGCAAAGGAGTTGCCGCGGAGTGCGAGGACCTTCAGGCGAAGGTTCTTTTTTAACGAGCTGAACTTGAGCAAAAGCACTACTAGAGTCGACGCCCTGAGTGCAGAATGGTCTAAGAAGGTGGCCGAGCTGGAAAGGAAAGTGGCCGAATTGGAGAGAGCCGAGGTGCTCGAGTGTCGGCTTTGGCGAGGGCAGCGGCGCTAGAAGACACTATCCGCGTCCTCAAGTCTGAGCAGGAATCTGAGAGGGCGACGGCCACGCTGAGGGAAGCACGGCTCGATGAGCGAATTGGCGAACTTGATCAGGATGCCTCGGGCTTGAGAGATCGGGTTGCAACTCTTGAGGCCGAGAAGGCGCAACTGTTGGCTCATGCCGAATCTGCCTCCGCTGTTGTCCTGCACTGCTTGTATGAGTTATGGGTTCATGCCGAGGCCCACGGGATATATACAAGTGTTTGTGGGAGGCGGGGAGTGTTCCTGAGGTCGCCTTTGAAGATGCTCGGGCGAAGGCTCGCGAGGCTCGTATTTCTTACGGTTACGACCCTGCGACACTGGAGGCTGGTGAGGGCATTGAGGTAGAGGATGGACTTTCTGATGATGAGGACGTTGGAGAGAACGGCGGTGGAGATCACACCGAGTGAAACTTTGTCGTAGCTTTGTACTTAGTTTTTTTTGTTCCTTTGTTGTTTATTTTTACCTTTTTCTTGAGGTCCCGTTTTGGCCTTTTGTAAGGCGCGATTGTTGCGCATGTATATTTGAATAAAATAGTCGTTTCGCCTTCGTTTGTGTGTCTTTTGACTTTCTTTCTCCTCTCCTTCTTGGAGAGAAGATTTTCGTATTTCTCCGTGATGAGTCCCTGACCTTTTAATTGGGAATTCGAATGAGGGCGGACCTGGTTTGCTTGATCCGGGTGAAGTCGGATCCCGTTGTGTGAGTTTGAATGAAGTCACCTCGGCTCTGCAAGTTCGGGCGAGGTTTACTTCTGAATTTCCATCTTAGGCGAAATCAATCTTGATTTGTCCATTCGAACGAGGTCGAATTTAGACTTGCCATCTTGGGCAAAGTCAGTTTTGACTTATATATTCGACCGAGGTCGAATTTAGATTTGCCAACTTGGGCGACGTCAGTTTTGACTTATATATTCGACCGAGGTCGAATTTAGACTTGCCGACTTAGGCGAAGTTAATTTTTCATGGCGGGTTTAGCGATGGTAGGGGGCGAGCTCGAGTGAGACCGAACTGTGACCCGTTGTGCGTTCGACGGGGTCAAGCTTTGATTTGTTGGTTCGGGTGGGTGAATTTTTACTTCCACTCGGCGATGGCCGATGGCCGTGAGGGTGTTAATTCGAGCGAGGTCGAAATTGTAACCCGCCCTGAATTCGAGCGAGTTCGAATTTTTCTTTCGTCTGGCGATGGCCGATAGCCATAAGGGTGTTAATTCGAGCGAGATCAAATTGTAACCCGTTGTGAATTCGAGCAAGGTCGTATTTTTCTTTCATTTGGCGATGGGCGATGGCCGTAGGGGTGTTAATTTGAGCGAGATCGAATTGTAACCCGTTGTGAATTCGAGGAAGGTCAAATTTTTCTTTCATTTGGCGATGGCCGATGGCCGTAGGGGTGTTAATTCGAGCGAGGTCGAATTGTAACCCGTTTTGAATTCGGGCGAGGTCGAATTATTCTTTCACTCGGCTATGGCTGATGGCCGTAGGGGTGTTAACTCGAGCGAGATCGAATCGTAACCCGTTGTGAATTCGAGCGGGTCGAATTATTCTTTCACTTGGCGATGGTCGATGGCCGTAGGGGTGTTAATTCGAGCGAGATCGAATTGTAACCTGTTGTGAATTCGAGCGAGGTCGAATTATACTTTCACTTGGCGATGGCCGATGGCCGTAGGGGTGTTAATTCGAGCGAGATCGAATTGTAACCCGTTGCATTACTTTTGTTGGAGAACATTACTCATCGCCATATTGTTTATGCGTACTTCGGGATGAGTCCCGGTTCGTTTAACTTTTGCTTTCATTGTAGAGTACTGTGTATCGGGATGAGTCCCGGTTCGTTTAACTTTGCTTTCATTGGAGAGTACTGTGCGTTTCATGGGCCCATCGCTCAGTCCCTGGTTCTGGGGATTGTTTCTTAACAACATCGACCTGCTCGGAGCTGTTTCTGTTATTTGTGGTATGGTGCGGCTTAGGGGGCTTTGCTCGGTCGTTGCTTGCGAGATAGTATGGTACGGAACATTTTCCTGGTGTGGTTAGTGGCGTTCGTTCCTTGCTCGCGTACCTGTGAGAATACTCGTGTTCCTGTTCTGAACCAAAAAGAGAGCGTGATAAGTTAAGCCCAAACGAAATTGCCCATTACCTTGGCCTGGTAAGTCGGCAAAAGGGGGAAAAGCGTTGTAGGGTCGCTCGCTTCGCCTCGTGCTCGAATGGCGGTTTCAGATTTGGCAGCCGTGTTTGGCTTCGTCGTTAGTCGCGTCCCAGCTTCTCGTGGGTTGGGTTTACCTTGCTATATCGAGATCGAGTCCCAATCCCATCCCGTCCGATATGCGCAAACAATAAGGGAAACATGTCATACTTTGCTCACAAATCACATAGTGCGTGTGGGTACTATATGAAGATAGAGAGACTGTTTCCGATAGACCCTCAACTCAAGAAAGGACTAGACACCATTAGTATATAAAAAACATATTCCATTAATAATAGCACAATATGCTCAACAAAGGAGAGAATACAAGATAGAGATTAGAAATTGCAGTTCCCTTGTCCAACATTACATTTCCTAGTACCTTAATATGTACTGCTTCGTTGGAATAGTCGATGTATGCATAAACTAGACTAGACACCATTCAATGACAACAACAATATACTCAGTAAATTTCCATAAGTGGGGTCTGGGGAGGATAGTGTGTACGTAGACCTTACCCTACCTTGTGAATGAAAGGTTGTTTTCAGTAGACCATCGGCTCAAGAAACGACTAGACACCATTATTACATAAAAAACATGTACTACTTCATAGTTCTAGTAGACTTTGATACTAGAGAAGCATAAATACCATCTTCTCTATTAACCAAAGTTTCATGATTTCCTTTTTCAACAATGACTCCATCTTTGATTACTGCAATAACATCAGCTCCTTTAATTGTAGATAGTCTATGAGCCACTACAACTGTAGTTCTGCCTTCCCTTACTCTATCAAGTGCATCTTGAACTACTTTCTCAGACTCAGAGTCAAGTGCACTTGTAGCCTCATCTAGTAGTAGTATCTTTGGACACTTCACTATTGCTCTTGCAATTGCAACTCTCTGCTTCTGTCCACCAGATAGTTGTATGCCCCTTTCACCAACTAGTGTGTCATAGCCCTACAAATCAAGGCAAAGAAGAGAACAACTTATTAGAGTTGCTAAGAGCCAAAGGACAAAGATAAAGTCTATCTTACATGATTCTTTTTTATGTCATGATATACACGTGTTGAACGGCTGTGACTTAAGATATTCGAGCAAATTCTTCAAAATACACTCAAAGTTAGAAAAACTCCATGTATTCGTATTTGATTTGTACACGTAACGAATCCATGTAACATAGGATAGAATGCAATGTCGTATGCAGGATTTTGCAGAAGCAGTGTCGACCTATTGTCACAATTCCTCTTGTAAGTAGATTTGGCCAAGAACTATGATCGTTTAAAGTTCTACTTCATGTCCAAGATTGATATTCGGTCTATTGTATATATACATGTAATATATAAAAAATAAATATAATGTTGTATGACAAAATGCAGTGTCTTATACAGGATTTTGCAAAAGCAGTGTCGGCCTATTGTCACAATTCATCTAGTAATTAGGTTTGGTCTAGAACTATGATGGTTTAAAGTTCTACTTCATGTCCAAGATTGATATTCGGTCTATTGTATATATACATATTTATTTTTTTAAAAGTGTTATTTACATATACAAAAATTCGAAGTAATGTCGGATGACACCCCTTAGTGCATGTGAACTTACACACAAGAAAGATGACCAAGAACCTATTTTAGTGAATCTGATCAAGAAAAAAGGGCAGCCCGGCACACTAAGCTCCCGCTATGCGCGAGGTTTGGGGAAGGGCTGGACCACAAGGGTCTTCTATAGTATGCAACCTTTACCCTGCATTTCTGCAGGAGGTTGTTTCCACGGCTCGAACCGTGACCTCCTGGTCACATGGCAGCAACTTTACTGTTACGCCAAAGCTCCCCTTGTAACAGCTAGAATTTCATTCCATAAAAAGTTACCTGTTGTAAGCCACTGATGAAGTTATGAGCATTAGCTAACTCAGCAGCAGCTAATATTTCAGCTTCAGTGGCATCACCTTCCTTTCCATATGCTATGTTAGCTCTGATTGTGTCATTGAACAACATAGGCTCCTGACTTACCAGTCCCATTTGTTGTCTCAACCATTTCACCTTCACCTTTTGAATTTCTACTCCATCTAATGTGATTAGTCCTGAATCAGGATCATAAAATCTTTGCAACAAAGAAATCACCGTAGATTTTCCGCTTCCACTTTCTCCCACTAGAGCGACCGTCTAGCATAAAAATATACATTTTTTACATCAGAATCATTGACAAATCGCGCCATAAGAGCGCTAAAAAATGATTATGGGAATAATGCATTAGAATTTACCTCACCAGAGCTAATGACTAGGCATAGATCTTTTAGAACTTGAGCCTCAGGTCTACTTGGATAATTGAAACTGACATGTCGAAACTCAATATGTCCTTTCACATTTTCTAATGTCATTCCTGAGTTATCGCTTGAGTCTATCTTGGATTGCCGGTCAATAAGTGCAAATATAGAAGATGCACCACTTTTGGCTTTGGTGGAGTCAGGAGCGAGGCCACCTGATTGAGAAATCGCGGTAGCTGTCAAGCTAAGACCATAGAAAACCTGAAATTCAGAACTAGGAAAATTAAAACAACAAAGAGAAGAAACTTGATACAAATCTTATCTTTAGCTCACAAGACTTACCCGAAAAACCTCAGCAAATGTGACCTTACCGGACTCGATCAATCGAGCACCAGCATAAAAACTGGCAGCATAGACAGAATACAAGCAGAACATTGAAAAACCAAAGCCTGCACCACTCAATAACCCTTCTTTTATTCCAGCTCTAACTGGTTCTTCACATTTTCTTTTGTATAATTGCACCACTTTCTCTTCAGCAGAGAAAGAAGCCACTGTTCTGATACTTCCAACTGCTTCACTAGCAACTTGACTTGCATCCTCGTATAATTTCTGCAGAAAAATTTCACTTGCATTAAGAAAACTCATCTTGCAACTTTTCATTAGTACAGAAGTTTGGAGCTAACCTTAGCATCAGCGGCAAAACCACTGACATATTTCATGTGAAGATATCCATTTAATCCAATTAGAGGCAACATAACTATCATTATGAGTGCCAATTGCCAGCTTGCTTCAAGTCCAATAACTAAACCAGCTATAGCTGTCGATGTATTCTGCACAACCAAAGCAAGTGACTCTCCAACCATACCTCGCACAGATGCAGCATCTGTAGATAGTCGGGTGCTAATTGCACCAATCGAGTTCTCCTTTCTGTCGAACCAACTTATCTCCATGTAAACTACTTTCTCGAAGCACATTAAGCGAATCCGCTTGATTAACTTACATCCTGCTACAGCAAAAAAGAATGTCCTCAAGGGTGTTGCTAGTAAAGAAGCCAATCCTAGACCGATAAATATCAATGACCAAAATCTTGAATGTTCTCTGACTTCATGAGCTGGTTCATAGAAAGTCTTGATAACATTAGAAAGAAGTACCCCAAAAATAGGTAATATTATAGCATTAACCACTGCAGCTATACAACCAAGTAATAATTCTGGAATCTCTGGTTTGTTCATAAATGCCAAGCGACAAAGTGTGTTGTCTTTATCCTTCCTCAGTACAGCTGTTGTTGAATTAAGATCATGACATTCACCAACTTCTTTCTCTGCTGCACTAACTGAAATGGACGACGAATGATGGCTGCTATTCTCGATCCTGAACGAGCCTCTACTTACTGATCGTGTTAGGATATTCTGCTTATTTGATTTCTTTTCAGGAGTTAGGATTATCTCTTCCTTGTCCAGTTCATTTGAATCTTGTTCTCCTGAATATTTGCTAAGCTCTTGCAACTGTATAAGCTGAACATATGCTCCTTCCCTATTTTGCAGCATTTCCATGTGGGAACCTGAAAGTTTGAAAAGGATAAGAAATAGTAATCATAAATTCTTTGCTATCATCTTTATAATCACATTCATTTTAGAATTAAAAAAGGGCAGCCCGGTGCACTAAGCTCCCGCTATGCGCGGGGTCGGGGGAAAGGTTGGACCGCAAAGGTCTATTGTCAGCCTTACCCTGCATTTCTGCAGGAGACTGTTTCCACGGCTCGAAACCGTGAACTTCTGGTCACATGACAGAAACTTTACCAGTTATGCCAAGGCTCCCCATCATTCATTTTAGAATGAACAAGCTAATAATCTTGAATCCAGCGTACTGGAAAAGATAGTTTATGTGACACAAACCTTTTTCAACGATCTTTCCCTCTTGGATTACAGCTATTGTATCTGCATTCTTTACTGTACTCAAGCGATGCGCAACAATTACTGTAGTTCGGTTAATCATGACACTGTCCAATGTCTCTTGAACAATCCTCTCAGATTCTGTATCAAGAGCACTTGTAGCTTCATCCAAAAGTAGAATTTTGGGATCCTTCAGTATTGCTCTTGCAATGGCAATTCTTTGCTTTTGGCCTCCCGACAGCTGACTTCCGTGATCGCCCACTCTGGTGTCTAGTCCCTAAATTTGAAGGAATAATGGACAAAGATAAACTTTCTAAGTAGCGTGAAGAAAATTAGTTAGCTATAAAGGGGCAGCCTGATACACTAAACTCCCACTATGCGTGGGGTCCAGGGAAGGGCCGGACCACAAGGGTCTATTATACACAGCCTTATCCTGCATTTCTGCAAGAGACTGTTTCTACGGCTCGAACCCGTGACCTCCTGGTCACATGGCAACAACTTTACCAGTTACGCCAAGGCTCCCCTTCTATATTAGTTATCTATAACTTGATGGAAAATTTAATGTCACTATATTAAATTTCATCAGTAAAATTGCAGGTGGAAGTATGGTTTCTAGTTACAACCAAAGTCTAAAGCCTGACCTGAGGTAAATTATCAATGAACTTAGAAGCATTGGCAAGTTGAACAGCAGCTTTAATTTCTGCAAGAGTTGCATCGTCCTTCCCATAGGCGATATTATCCTTTATTGTTGAACCAAACAGCACAGGTTCTTGGCTAACAAGCCCGATTTTCCCCCTGATCCACCTAAGCTGAAATTCTTTGATATTTATACCGTCAATCAGAACTTCACCAGCCTGTGGATCATAGAACCTCACTATTAAACTTATCACTGTCGATTTTCCACTTCCACTTCGCCCTACTAGAGCTGTTGTCGTTCCCTTTGGTATCGACAGAGAAAAACCGTCAAATATGCTCTCCTTTGGTCTTGCTGGATAACAGAAATAAATGTCCTTAAGTTCAATGTCACCACTAATGTCATGAAGTTTCTGGCCATTCATATCATAAGGATCTATAGCCGGCTTCCTGTTTATCGTCTCAAACATTTTAAATGCTGCAGCCTTTCCAGCAGCAAATGCACGCAAGCATGGAGATGCATATCCTAAAGAACTGCGATTAAGAGGAGAAGAAGGAAAAAAGGAGTTAAAAAGACGATAAGGCTTAGTATATCGGTGTCATTAATACATGTGGAGCTGTGTGGTTTCGTATGCCATATGTGCCATTCGTTTGCGAAGAGTTTTGGATGTTAGATAAAGAAAGCTCCAAGTGAAAGAAGCGAAACATACAAAGAAAAGGCAGAATGGAACCTACAAGGAGCCAGTTAGCGTTGCCATAATGACATTCATTACATCTCCTCCAGTGTAGTTGTGGTCCAGAATCATTTTTGCACCATACCATATAGCTAAAGCATAACTTGTATAGAACACAAACATAAAAACACCGAACCCGAGCCCTGAAGCCAAACCCTCTTGTACACCAGAATGATAAGCTTTGTTTAGAGAATTTTGATATTCAGAAATAGCTCTTCTCTCTCCCGTGTACGATGCAACCTGAACGAAAAATCAAGCCGATTGGTGAATAAAAGCTTATGAAACAGTTGAAAAGTAAATAAGAAAAATGATTCTTTCCAACTTTTCATACAGTTTTAATTGAGCTTATTGTCTGTTCAACCACAGTTGCAGCTTCTGAATAATGAGTCTGTGCGCGGGATGCTAGTTTTGCCAGAAGGATTGTCAGGACAGCAGAAGAGATGACAAGTGGAGGAACTGAAGATAACAAGACCAACGATAGACGCCACCCCTTAATAAAAGCTATTACAAATCCTCCAAAGAATGTAGCTGTTACCTGAATAAATTTGCCAACCTGCAGTTTCATGTGAATAGAGTTCATGATAAAATCTTTCAGATATGTCAAATGGTAATGATGTACATAAATTTGCCTTTCAGAATACCTTTTGGCCGATGGCGTCTTGTATAGTAAGAGTATCACTACACAAGCTTTCAATAATCACACCAGTGTTAGCCTTCTGATCAAAAAATCCAATATCTTGTCTTAGTACTGTTCTCAGATATAAGTATCTAATCCGAGCAGCCTGCCTTTCGCCTGTGACCGTCCAGCAAGCCACCTCTGAAAAGATGCTAATGTAAGTACTGAGTTATTTCACTTAAAGAGAAACTAAACTACTTTAACAATGGCATGCAAAATAGAAACAGGTATATCAGTCTGGTAGTTAAAAATACTTACGCGTAAATGTAGCAAGACCTGAACCGAAAGCCAGATACATGAATTTAAGGGCTACCTGAAAAAAGTATGACACAAGAGGAAGCAATAAAATGAAATAACACTCTGAAATAGTACCCTATACCAGTGGCGTAGCCACATACACTGAAGGGTGGTCAATCGAACACCCTTCATCGAAAAACTATACAGTGTATATAGAAACTTATATTGTGTATAAACGCCTAAAGTTATTTTTTATGTGTGTATATTAAATTTTGAACACTCTTCGCGAAATTCCTGGCTTTGCGCCAGTGCTCTATGGTTGAGCTTAAAAAAGGTATAACAAAGCTTGTACCTTAGAAACTTTATCAACAATTTTTCCGTTATCCACGGTCATTCCAAATGAATCAACTAACTCCCCAAACAGAACAGCCATCAGGGGAAAACAGATTCCACTACCAACAGCTGTGATCATACCGATAACCATCAATGCATGATCTGTGGTGTCCGCAAAGGCGAACAGCTTATAGTATGGAACTTCTTCAGCAGCAGCAGCAGCAGCAGCAGCCTCTTTCTGCTTTTTAGTCTTGTCCGATTCTCGTGTAAAATTAGAACCTTCTGAGGATTCTAAGACTCTCGTTTCCCTGTTATCGATGCCTGTTTCGATAGCATTCTCTTCTGCCATCACTCAACTGCAGCCTGATTTTCCAACTATTTACTCAGCAACTGCTATAGTTGACACGGGAATTTATACAACTGAAGAGAGATTGATATATAGATCAGAAAAACTGCAATCAGTTGAAATACACATTTGAAAGCTTAAAACATTACCAAGTAACTAATGAACAATCAGAATTATGAACATTACTTCATAAACTGTGACTTTAGAAGTATTGTCAATACTCCTGGAAAAATAAAAGGCAGGCCGGTGTACTAAGTTCCCGCTATGCGCGGGGTTCGGAGAAGGGCCGGACCACAAGGGTCTATTGTACGCAACCTTACCCTACATCTCTGCTAGAGGCTGTTTTCACGGCTTGAACCCGTGACCAGGACCCGTGACCTCCTGGTAACATAGCACAACTTCAGCAGTAACGCCAAGGCTCCTTCGAAAACGAAAAAGAGAATATGATTGCCTTACTAGTTTTTACTCATGCAACTTGTTGCTGCTGATCAGTCAGGAATGAGACATATAGAACAATAACCACTCTCTTCTATTAATAGGCTTTCAAGTGGACGTCAGATAATGCCATAGAAAATGATGCTTTTAGATTTACAAAGATATATCACTCCCTACTGTTCAGACATAATATAATTAAGTCAAAAGTATGTTCTCACTAACAGTTTAAACTTTTGAATGAGATAGTCGCACACTTAAACATGGTATTCACATCTCGCCAGCACAGTAACAAAAGAAAGAAATATTGTCATGTTTTGATTCGTGAAAAAGAATCAGGCACGGACATGAGGAGGTGTCTTGAGAGTCGATACATATTATAATTAAGTTAATTAAAAGTGTGCTTATTGCATACCTCAACATAGTATCAGAGCAAGCAAAAGGTCTTGAGTTCATATTTCACTACCACAAAAAGATAATATTTCCGCGTGTTTGGCTCGCGAAAAAAAAAAAATTAGCTCCACACGCGAGAGCCATGTGTATACATACTAATATAACTCAGTTAAAAATATGTTTTTTCTAACAACTTAAACTTATGAATGAGATGGTCCGACACTTAAACATCTATATGCAACCTAAACCTATTAAGTCAAATAGGTTTTGGAACCTAAAATAATATATTTGGTAGCGCCACAATGACGCTCAAATCATCTGCAGATGGCATAAAATCCTTGTATATATCCTCCAAAATGATTTAATTCCTTAGACGAATCGTCACAAAAAGTACTAATAATTCAATTATTTAATTAACCACATGTACGGAGCTTTAATTCTTAAATTATATGTTTAAGCTCAAAGCGTCATTCTTGAACAGTTTCTGAATGTTTTTTATGCTAATTAAACACACATCATAGTAATTGGTGACAAAGACTAAAGACAAATCAGCATCTGGGGTTTTAGTAAACAATGTTGTCAGTCTGCTTTCAATGATTTAATATCGTACAAATTAAATAAAAACTTAACAATTCTTGATGTTTCTGGATGGAAGTACTTTCGAATTGATTAACGTTATACTTTCTCCGGTCCACAATAAGTGACCAATTTGCTTTTTTATTTTGGTCCAAAATAAGTGTCCATTTATATAATCAAGAAAGAATTCAATTTGTTTTTACAAAATTACCCTTATGTACATATCCCTAAAAAGTTTTCTTACTCCTCACGTTAAATATTTAATTAAGGGTAGTTTAGTCATGCTAGGTATTATTGTATAGAATTTAGTATTTCTTAATGGGCGTGCCAAAAGCAAATTGATCACTTATTGTGGACTGAAGGAAGTAAATAATATGTCCCATTCAAAAAGTCCAATTATGCTTTAAATAACTTCTTAGTATTAGTATATGAAACTTCTTAGTATTAGTGTATACTACATTGACAATAAAAAAAAATTACACTATTAGTATTATATTTTAACATCTTGTAGCATGTAACTTAACTTATTTTTCCATGTTACTAATCTATTTATTATGGATAATTGTGTGTAGTTATTTTTTATGCGGTCTGATTATAAAATATTCGTTTAAAGTATCAGTGTATAAATTAAACTCTAACGTTTTATACTCATTTCAGGTGTGACTTTGCAAGAAGTGGCATAATATCGAGGCTCTCAGAATATAAATTATCCGCTCTTGGTTTTTACGCCAAATTAATATTATGGTTCTTTTACTATTTTTATTATTAACCATAATTAATTGATATGTATTTTTGCTGTATTCATTACTTAATCGTAGTATATTAATATGTTTTGGAATGTGCATATAACAATTTTTCGGGACCACTTGGCTCAATCCCATGGACAAGGGACCAGAATTCGAAATCGTATCACAAGTTTATTATATGAGCTAAAAAGAAAGTATAAAGAAGAAAAAGAGGCTTAACCACTCCATTACTAATATTGAGGTACAGTTGACGGAATTGAGCCACTAAGAATTTAGGAATCTTATTTGTATAAATTCAAAATAGTAACTGAAAAAAGAAAAAATTAGAATCCTCTGCTTAACCTAGTAAAAATCAGAGCTACACACAAGTAACAAATCTTTTTTTGTAAAATTAATTTAGAGGAACAGAGTGGTGGAATGTTGGATTTGTATGGGTCAAAAATTATCTCTAATATGATCAAACCATGTTAACATTAAGGAGCCATTCGCAGATGTTATAAGTACGATTTCAATAAAGACCCGCCCAAGGTCGAAGTGGTTCCAGAAGCAATAAAGGTTGCGGTCGAAGAGTCAGCAAGGATCAAGGTCGAAGTCGACATGGATCAAGGTCGAGATCGAACATCCTAGATAGGGTTATAACGGCTAGTTCTAGGATAGGACACAAAAGAGAATATGCTAGTGGATATTCCCTATACCTGTACTATTAGAGTTTTTAGGAATATGTTCCCTATAACTAGAAAAAGATATAATGATAGGGGACATGTGATATGCATTTGTAAAAAATACATTGACTTCATAGAGAGAATGTGGCCCTATTACAAGCATATGAAAATACTTTTTCACTAAGATTCTTGTCTAGCTTTTCCACTTGATCCAAGAACAACCTGAGTGTTCAAAGGCTCATCAATTATTCATCATTGTTAGAAAGAATATCCACAGATCTCACCCCTTTTCGGGTGTCTCACACATTTTTATTTACTTAAATGTCATTCATTGCTATTTATTATTATTTAATGCTATCTTCCATCTTTTTGGATCATTGAATATTGTTATTATTGCTCGCATTCATTACCATTCGAAAAAACATACATCTTACCTGCCATAAAACCGACAGCCTTATCTTTTGGACATTATTATTAGCTAAGATTGACTCTATTTTACTTAAATCTAATTGGTTGAACCTAGATCTATATTCTGGGTCAAGCAGTTTGGTGCCGTCTGTGAGGATTTCTTAGCTAATTTTTTAGTTTTCTTTAGATCTACAACTCAAGTGAGTCACTAACCTAATAAACCTCAAGATATTTCTCTTTCTTTGCACGTACGGAAACCTACATAGCAGGTAACCAAAGAGATAGGACTAAGTGACAGGTGACTTCCCTGGCAACCTCATGAATGCCAGAGCTGTGAAACGCTAGGCGATGACGTGACACCCACTGCCTCCCCCAAGCACGAGAGTCCGCCCCCCTCCCATTGCAGTATAACAAAACCAAATGGAAAAGGGGCCTTCACGTCCATAAGAGGGGCCTCCTCGAGGCGTGGCTAACCGTTACGTTAGTAAGTGTGCTCAACAAACCTACTACATGAACAACCATAGAGACCGCAAGAGCCCACACAGTGCAACGAGCAGACGAGCAGGACAACCAACCAACATCAGGTATAACTCACAATCTTACTAACAGTGCAGGTGACAACATCCTCGTTACCATTCTAAAGAGGATGGAAGAAATGGAGAATGAAACAAAACGCTCAGAGATCAAATGAAATAACACCAAGAACGAGTCGACAAGATATCGGGCGCCCCCAAGCTACTTCCAAAGAGGGACGTCGGTAGATTTATAGAACAACCAAATAGTGAGGAAGCAGCCTCATATGCCATACCAAAGACCTTCAAATGCCGTCATACCTCAAGATATATGACGGAACTACTGACCCCGAAGATTATGTGACTCATTACGTCATCATCGTGAAGGGCAACGACCCCACCAAGGAACAAGTGTCCTCTATTTTGCTGAAGAAATTTGGTGAAACCCTCACTGGAGGAGCATTAACGTGGTATTCACAACTACCATCCCGTTCCATAGAAACCTTAGAAGAAATGGCGATAAGTTTGTAATGGCGCATGCTGGGGCCAAGAAGGCCGAAACAAGAGTAAACGACATATTCACCATCAAGCAGTCCTTGGGAGAGGGACTGAGGGACTTCCTCGCCCGATTCAACAGAGTAAGGATGACCCTACCAAATGTGTCTGAAGGGATGGCAGTCGTGGCCTTTCAGAACGGGTTGAGTAGAGAGGGTTCAAGAGCGACCAGGAAATTGCTGAGCTGGTTGATGAAGTACCCTCCAACCACTTGGGATGAAATCCACAATGCTTACTGTGCCGAAGTCCAAGTAGATGATGACGACCTCAACAGACCAACTCGACGGCTCGTCTCGGTACAAGCCGAGCCCAGGAAAGAATGAAGAGACAATAAGGAGGGATCACTCGGTCTCACGACCAAATAGGGAACGACATCAGCCATACATCAGGGCCCCCGCCCCACCTTCCTTCTGTTATGATGAAGGCCCATCTAAGCCGAGGACGAGGACTCACCAAAACGAGAGACGTATTCCCCCTTATTGTCTTCTCACAATTTTTGTGTGTCACCTACAGAAATAGTCTATGCCCTGAAGAGACTTGGAATGAAGGCGAAATAGCCGCCAAGGATGAGGTCCAACCCGATCACTAGAAAATCTGATGCCCTCTAAGAATTCCGCCAGGAGCGCAGACACAAGACAAAATACTGCATTGCCTTCATGCAAGAGGTTGTGAACATGTTACAGCAAGGACACCTCAAAGAACTGCTGAGTGGCAAGGGGAGAACTAACTTCGCTAGAGGTCGTGAACGTTAAGGCCCACCGAAACCACCGTCGCCGGCTCACACCATCAACGTGATCATCAGTGGTAGCGACGATGCCTCCATAACAGTGTCAAATTCACTGCCACTTACAAGATCAAAAGGTATATCACGCACAAACGTTCTGACAGACTCGAAGAATGTATCATCTTCGACGATTCAGATATCGATGGTGTGACTTTCCCTCAAAACAATACTCTCGTCATTACTTTACAAATTTTAGATACT